CTCCATCCTAACTGGTTTGGCTCAGTGGATAGAGCATCAGCCTGCAGACTCAAGGATCCCAGATTCAATTCCAGTCAAGGGCATGTACCTTGCTTGCGGGCATATACCCAGTAAGGGAGTGTGCAGGAGGCAGCTGATCGATGTTTCTCTCTCTAATCTATCTCTCTCCCTCCGTAAAAAAAATCAATAAAGTATATATTTTTTTAAAGCTAAGACTGCCAAAACCGGTTTGGCTCAGTGGATAGAGTGTCGGCTTGGGGACTGTAAGTCCCGGGTTCGATTCCGGTCAAGGGCATGTACATTGGTTGCGGGCACATCCCTAGTTGGGGGGGGGTGCAGGAGGCGGCTGATCGATGTTTCTCTCTCATTGATGTTTCTGGCTTTCTATTTCTCTCTCCCTTCCTCTCTGTAAAAAATCAATAAAACATATTTAAAAAAAAAAAAAAAAAGCTAAGACCCCTGCCATTGGCCATCAATCTCTGGCCACTATGCCATGCCTCCTGAAACTTTTATAGGACTTATAATTTCCTTGCTATTTCCCACCCCAATCCCTGACCCCTCTCTGAAAGTTATAACAGTGAAGTTATTACAAACATGTATTGACTAATAAAATAAGACTAGAGGCCCAGTGACCAAATTCATGCATGGGTGGGGGACACAGAAAAGGGCTATCCCTCAACCCGGCCTGCATGGTCTCCAAATCCAGGACCCGCAATCCAAGACCACTGGCTCCTAATCACTCACCTACCTGCCTGCCTGATCACCCCTAACCACCTCTACTTGCCTAATCAGCCCTAACCTCCTCTGCTGCCTGCCTGCCTAATAGGCTCTAACTGCTCCCCTACTGGCCCAATTGCCCCTAACTGCTTCCCTGCTGGCCTGATCGCCTCTAACTGCCTCTGCCTCACCCCGCACCCAGTATTCCCTGCCCTCTGGCCAGCTGCAGGCACACAGGACTCAGGCTGGCTTTATCCAGGCTGGCTGCAGCAGCAGGGGACTGTGGGAAGGCAGCTTTGCCTGGGCCACCATCACAGGCACCTGCGACTGCAGAATGGGCAGCTTGTCCCTCCCCTGGGCCAAAGCCACAGATGCTGGCACCCAGGATTGCAGGGCAGGCAACTTGTCCCTCTTTAGCTGGGCCCATTCCTCACTTACAAGCGCATTTCGCCTGGCTGGTCCCCATTCCTCTCTCCCCAGTATTGAGTGTCTGAGCTATGATGGCATGATAACCATTTGCATATTAGCTTTTTATTATATAGAATTACAAAGAGGGTGAGGCAGGCTTACTAGTCCTATACTAGATCTAATAGGACTTTCTACACTGATGTGTTCTAAATCTGTACTGTCCAATACAGCAGGTACCACTAGCTACATATGACTTGAGCTCTTGAAATGTGGCTAGTGCAACTCAGGAACTGAATTTTCAATTGTGTTTAATTTTAATTAATTTTAAATAGTTATCCTTGGCTGATGGCTAAAGTATGTTGAATTCTCCTTCCTAGGGCCCTAAAGAGTAATAGCAAGTCCAAAGGAGAGATGAAAATAAGCCAAAAAAACAAGTGCAATTTCTTTACCCAATCAGGAGAGAAAAGCTGTAAGAAGATATTTTAAGGCATATAAGGAGAACATATTTAAAAGGCTTCCTTGTATTTTTTAAAATATTTTAGCCGAAACTGGTTTGGCTCAATGGATAGAGTGTTGGCCTGCGGACCGAAGGGTCCCAGGTTCGATTCTGGTCAAGGGCATGTGCCTTGGTTGCGGGCACATCCCCGGTGGTGGGGGTGCAGAAGGCAGCTGATGGGTATTTCTCATCGATGTTTCTAACTCTCTATCCCTCTCCCTACTTCTCTGTAAAAAATAATATATATATATGTGTGTGTGTGTGTATTTGATTTTTTTACAGAGAAGAAGGGAGGATAGTTAGAAACATTGATGAGAGAGAAACAACAATCAGCTGCCTCCTGCACACCTCCTACTGGGATGTACCCACAACCAAGGTACATGCCCTTGACTGGACTTGAACCTGGGACCTTTCAGTTCACAGGCCGATGCTCTATCCACTGAGCCAAACAGGTTAGGATTTTCTTGTATTTTTTTTAAATGAAACAAAATGGCCTTGAGCCAGTTTCACTTATAGGGGATGTGACAGGGTTTTAATAGAAATTAGCTTTAAAAAAAAAATTTGTAATAACCCCTTCAAAAAAAAAAAAGCTGAGAGACTTGGGTCCTCAAAACAGGGAAAGTATAAATGAGGTTTTATTTGGTACATGATGTGGGGCAAAACCTAATATTAAGCAGGTAAGTGAATTCTTCCCTTTCTCACTTCACAGCAAATCCTGACAGAGGAGGTCTGGGAGCCCTAGAAGGGAAAGCAGTTTGTTTTGACAGTATTAATGAGAAAATTGAGAGATGTAGGAAGAACAGGGCTAAAAAGGAGACCATGAGAAATAATGGGTGGTGATATATTACATTTTTAATGACAGTTTTGGCCCACAAACCAGAGAGTCCTCAGAGGTACAGTATGAGAATTCTGTGCTTGGAGAAATGGCTCATTTTTGCATGTGAGAAATACAGAAGCAATAAGACTCCTGTTATCAGGAGACCTGCAAAGAGGAAGGACATGGCCTCTAAGTTAGTACTTTTCTCCCCCACCCAAAGGGGGAAAATGGACAGCTCAGAGATTTGTATAAAGGAAGGCTTGCACAACCTATATGGCTCAGTGGTTGAGCATCCACCTATGAACCAGGAGGTCACAGTTCGATTCCCAGTCAGGGCACATGCCCAGGTTGCAGGCTCAATCCCAAATTGGGGGCATGCAGGAGGCAGTCAATCAATGATTTTCTCTCACTGATGTTTCTCTCTCACCTCTCACTTCCTCTCTGAAATCAGTAAAAATATATTAAACACAGGAACTCTCATTCCTCCATAGCAATCTGATGCTCAAACTTTAGGCGTTCCTGACTTGTTCATCCTAATGTACTTGGATCCAGAGTAGGTCTGAGGCTTCTGGTTGACAATTCCATTTGGCACCAAGATGGGCCCAGAAATACAAAGGGGGATCCATGTGGCCTGGAAGAGGCTCCCTGAAGGTCACATAACCCTTTATCATCTGCCATTTCCTTGGCACCCAGAATCCCCTCTCCCCCTACAGCAAAGGATGGAATTTCTCAGCAGACCAAGTGTGAGCAGGAAATACTGTCTCATCTTCAGCCCTCTATCTTGTGGTAAGCTAACCAGCTTCAAGGTTCCATCTCAATACATTGTTCTGACCCTAGTTCATATGAAATTCTCTTGCTGATAATAAACTCAGAATAGGCACCTTGGGTCACAACTTTTATTTCTCCCCTACCACCTAATGCTGCTTTAAATCCTTTAATAAAGCCAAAAGCTTGCCTTCTCCCTTCATTTCTTAGAGGCCCAGTGCATGAAATTCATGCATGGAGCGGGGAAGAGGGGGGTCCCTCAGCCCAGCCTGCATCCTCTCCAATCTGGGACCCCTAGAGGGATATCCGACTTCCTGTTTAGACCCGATCCCAGTTGATCAGGCCTAAACCAGCAGTCGGACATTCCTCTCACAATCCAGGACTGCTGGCTCCCAACTGCTCACCTGCCTGCCTTCCTGATTACCCCTAATCGCTTCTGCCTGCCAGCCTGACCACTTCATAATCGCTCCCATGCCAGCCTGATTGATGTCTTAACTGCTCCCCTGCCAGCCTGTTTGCCCCCAACTTCCCTCTTATGCCAGCCTGGTCACCCCTAACTGCCTTCCCCTACTGGCTTCTTTAAGCTGCAGGGCTACCTTGTATCAACAGTAGATGTTTAGACATAGTCCCACCTCCTTGCTGTCAGGTGAAATAAGAGTCCTGGCTGTCAGGTGGCAGGGAGCTGTCTGACCAATGGTCAATTCTCTGCGGGTGGGACTTCCTCCTCCCTGCTGTCAGATAGCTGTCAGACCACTGAGCTGCCTGACCAATGGCTGATTCTGGCTGATTCTGTGGGGGTGGGACTTCTGTCAGAGTCTGGGCCAGCACAAACTGGGACACAGCATCAAGTCCCCCTGTGCCAGAAGAGTCAACTCCCCCTCCACTTGTGTGTCCCCTAAATGCAACATCCAGTCTCATGGAGGGGCTGACAGGCCCAGACATGCCAGAGGCTGGGAGCAGTGAGGCTGGATCTGCCACTGGAGTAAGCGGATCCCGCCTGTCCACCTGGTCCCCAGGGCTCCTGGCCAGGCCTATAGGCCCAAACAATCCAGCCTCGCTGCTCAGCCCCGGACACTTCAGAGGTCACAGAGCAGCCAGGCTTGATCCGCTACTGGAGTGGACGCATGACCCCCCGGCTGGACACGCCAGGCACCTCTCAGCCACACATCCCAACCACTGGTGGCGGGGATCCATGTGTGGGGCCTGGCCGCCTCCCAGCCGCACACCCAGTGCTGCCTCAGCTGGTGGCACCATCAGTTTGTGGGGGCGCGAGTGCCTCCCAACCAGATTGTGGGACTCCAGAGGGGTTGGACTGGGGGACTCTGGCGGGGCTGAGAGTATTGGACACCGCCATCTTGTGGCTATGGGCGCCGCCATTTTGTAGCAGAGTGATGTCTAATTTGCATATTACTCTTTTATTAGATAGTATAGTCCTGCCTGGACCAGGCCTGCTTCCACAGCTTTTGACTCTGCACATCAGGTAAAGCACCCAAGGCCTACGGGATCCCACAGTCCCTCTCCCAGGGAAGACTCAACAGAATGCCTTAGGACCCGCTTCCTGCGGGACTGTTAGATCTCAGATTTCTGCCCAAGATGAACACCGAGTCTTTATCAAGAGGGGGGAAAAAGGCATGTGATTTCTTGTAATTACTGTTCCCAGTACTGATTGAATGCCACATCCCCACTTCTTACTAGGAGGAATAGACAGAACCTATAATTATACCCCCTTGTTTCCTTGTTAGCAATTTTTTAAAGCTAATTCTTGGGCCTTAGTCATTAAATAATTTTTATATATCAATACATTCCAATACTAAACTCAGGAGTGAAGGTAGCATAGGGGAAAGAGAGATGGATTGGAAGAGATATTCAACTCCTCACAAGGCCTTTGGTAAGTCATCAGTCCCTCCCTTCATAGGTCTCATGATCCTCCTAGAGACTCTCCTGTCCAGCTTTGGAACTCCTTCTTTCTAGTCTTACTTCAACCTAGCCTACACTGTGACAACCAATACCTTTTAGCAAACTCAAGTCTAGGCAGGAGAGAGATGAGAATCCTTAAAAAAGATTTCAGGACAAATTCCAATTTCCTTAGCACCACCTCTGGTTTCATTCTCTTCTCCCTTTTCTCTTGAAACCATCTCTCCCAAGCTTGCATGCATACCACTTGTATGCCTCTTCCCTGTGCAGTTCCTGTTTCCTGAACATCCTCCCTTGCATTAGTCACTTGCCATTTAAGTCTGAGGATGGCCACCAAGATCAGACTCTTTAGCTTGTGCTGGGAATGCAACATGCTGGCAGAAAGGGAACGAAGGTCTCTGCTCCTTGGAGAAGGAATCACGGGCCTCTGGCAAGAAGTCCAAGGGGGTCTTCCCAGTTATGCAGGTCTTGTGGGCTTCCCTCCAGAAAAGGGAAGTTGAGACAGATTTCCTTAGAAGAACCCCTCTGATCTCCTCTTGGGATTCGAACCTTGTGTGGATGGAGAAAATGCCTATAGGGTCATGAGAGGGGCAAGTGCAGGGGTTCTAACAAGTGGGGGAGACCCAGCTGAATTGCCAGGTGGACTGGTGGGGCTGAGCCCAGACCACAGGAGTCCGGCTGAGAGTGTTTAGGGTGGAGGAGGCTCTGAATACAGTTGGAATTTTCCCCAAAGGCCAGGCAGGTCCTCCATCAGGCTTCCACCGCTAAGAGGCTAGAGAAAAGATGTTCTGGATGAGATGGACTCGATGGAGGCACAGCTGATTTTCAGGTACATCACACAGCTGAGGGACGTCACCCCACTGGAAGGAGCTCATCTCTCGGCTCTCTTTGAGGAAAACGAGTGAATCCAGACTCCTGATTGAGAGTGAGGAGTCCAGGTGAGCCCTTGAACTGGGCCAGATGGGGGCCCTGTATATACCTAGCAGTGAGCCACAGAGCCACTGGGGGAAGCAGGTGTGGGTGGGGTTTAACTCCAACTAAATCTGAGTTGGAAAGGATGTCCCACCCATGTCTCCACTCTTAGCTTTACCCAAAGTGGTCTCCAGCGTTGGGAGACACCTCCCTTGGCGCAAGATTGTCCCTCAGAGGCACTGTGGCCTGCATCTCCAGGGAGGGACGAGAGGCTGGGCAGTGGTTGGAGGAAAACACCAAAGTGGGAAGCCCAAATGCCTCAGGCTCTAGTTGTCTGCAAAGCCCACTCTGTTCCATTTCTCTCTCTCCACTGGCATCGCCAGCTTGGACTGTGTGCTCAAGGACAAAGTCCAAAGACCCCTCTGAGACCCAGAGAGGGGACACTTCCAGAACCATCTCACAGAGTGAGGGATCCATGCGGAAAGAGGCCCGTAGACCTGAGGAAGGTGAAAGGCATCTATTGTGGCCACAATATAGCTCTCGGAAACAATGCAGGAAAGATGCGGGAAGTAGGGGCTAGCCTGAGAATTGCCTGCCTCTGGAAAAGGGCCTGGCGGTGCAGAAAGGTCCCACCCTTGAGCATGAGTGGGGGACTTGGGAGACTCGTTTCAAACCTGGGCTCCTGGCCCTATCTCAGGGGTGCTGATTCCACAGGGGCTCCCTGGGCTAGGTTCAAAAACCAAATAAATTTTCTCAAGTGGGAAAAATATAATGTGACTATTGATGTCTTTGGGAAGTGGAGGAGCGAGTGCTCTTAAGAGCAAAGAGGAAATCCTCTGCATATAAAGACCAACAGCCAGGGAAACCCTTATGCAGCGAGCATCTACTCACTCAGATAGATGGAGTCCCTGGCCTGACCAGTCATAAGCAGCGAGCTGATACTGGGGTGGGTAAAGACGGGGTTGGGGTGTAGCACAGTGTTAGAAAAGTTAAAGGTTGGAGTGCAGGTGGCTACCTGGATGAATCATCAAGCTGTAGAGGTGCAATCAGGACAGAGCCCTGAGGAAGGAGGAGAGTCTGCAGGCCACCAGAGGATCAGGTGCTCTCAAAGGAGGGATCATGGCCCTTCTCCACAAGCCTGAGCAGCCACAGCCTATGGCGGCTTTGTCACTGCCCCTCACCTAACTTCTGCCCTCCTTCCCCAAGGCCATCCAGCATGTTGCCAAGGTCCTTCCCTGAGGCTGTGGGGCCCCCCAACCACCACCTCATTTTCAGTCTCAGCTTCTCCAACATTCCAGCTCTTTCCAACAGACACATTTCCTCCCATATACCTTCCCTCCAAGTGGAACATTAATTTCTCCCTATATCCACTGGGATCTGTCCCACATCTCCTTGTCTTTGCTCCCTGCCCACAATATCCCTTAAGCCCCATCTAACCTCCAAAAATGGGTCCCACCTCCCCAAGACCTAAAACAGGGCCTGGTCCCCAATAAGTGCTCACTAAGTAAGCGGTGCAATATCCCTGCTCCATCTAACCTCCAAAAATGGGTCCCACCTCCCCAAGACCTAAAACAGGACCTGGTCCCCAAGAGGTGCTCACTAAGTAAGCGGTGCATTACTCTGCCAGGCATTCTTCTGGCCGCTTTACCTGTCTTAATTCACTTACTCCACACCACCATGTGAGGTGGGTACTGTAACTTCCCACCTCATTCCACAGGCCTGAAACTAAATTTATTCAGTACACAGAAAAGTAGGTACTTGTGCACAATTCTCTATTTTGCCTATAATATAACTGCCATCAGCCTGATCTGTGCCCCGCCCATTAAAAAAACATTTGAGCCCTGGCCGGGCGATTCACCTAAAGGCCGAGTTCAATTCCCGGTCAGCCCCTCAGGTCCCCCCTGTCCGTCGTGAAAAGGGAGGCAACCTTGATATGGATCGCGCTCTCCTTTCCTCCCTCTCTCCCTGCCTGCCTGTCTTGCTCCTCCTCCCCCCTTCCTCTCTAAAAACCAGTAAACATATCCTCAGGTGAGGATTTTAAAAATAAGCATTTGAGGGGGCGCTGCCAGCATTCTCGTATCAGGGATGCGCAGCAGTGGGAGGCACACGCACCCGCAAGCTCAGCGGCTCAAAGGGAGGGCGGCAGGCAGGCAGCCAGGGGATCCTAATAAACTGCTTACCTGTGCAGGGCATGTCCCTCCGGGCCTTTCCGGGAGGTCGTTAGGCCCGGAGCCGGCTTTCGACTGAGTCCCCGGAGATCAGAACCCGGAGACCTTCCTCTCTGACCCGCCCCGTTCCTGCCCCGCGATCCGCGCTGGTGAGCGGCCCGCAGCCGCACACCGGTTTCTCCTCGCCCCGGCTTCCCGCTCTGGAACTCGTTCTGGCCTCAGTCCTTCCGGACACGGCGTGTCTCACCCAAAACCATCGGGACGTACACCTCTTGAGGGAAAAGCCGCCACTGCGCATAGAAACCTTTTAGGGTTTACTAGTCCTGGGCACCGTTTACATTAAAATATGCCACAGTTACAATTGCGCCCTGGACATTAAGACCCCCGAGCGCGGCCACGCGAGCGCGGAGGACTCGCGCCGCGGCGCGCAGGGACCCGGAAGTCCCTGCAGTACTCGGGGATTTACCTGCACGTCCCTCTTCCGGACCTCTCAGATTTCACGTCCCAATCAGCACTCGAGAAGCATTTTGAAACATGGTGGTCTTGGTTTCAGAATATTTATACACGTTACCAAATTACACTGTATGGTGTGTTGTCATTTCACCTCGCTCTATACTCTACGTGGCGCCGCCATCTTGCGCGGAATTGAATCATGGGGGCCGCCATTTTGCGAAAGAGGGCGGGTATTTCCGGTTCCGGCGGGGGATGTTCTCTCTTTTCCTCGCAGGGCTGCGGCGGTGGTGGTTGTGCTGCTGCTCTCGCTGAAGTATCCAGGTCCATCCTCGTCGCTGCGGCGACACCCACACCCGCCACCGCCATGACTGAGCAGATGACACTTCGTGGCACCCTCAAGGGTCACAATGGATGGGTGACCCAGATCGCTACCACTCCCCAGTTCCCGGACATGATACTGTCCGCCTCTCGAGGTACGAGCTGAGATGCGGGGCGGAGGATTGGAGGATAAGAGAGGTTATACCTGTCGCATGGCTGGGCCAGTGGCACGCGGCTGGGAAAACTGGGTGGAAGCGGTGTGCGGACCTGTACCCAGGCCTCAGCCGGGATGCAGACATGGAAACAGGTCAGCAAATGGCTGCCAGGAGGATTTCAGGATTAGGGGCTTTTTTTATTTTTTGACTGCCTCCCCGTCGGTGTGTGTAAGTGCTGGGGAGCCTACGGGTCGTGCGGGGCGGTGATGACACCAACATGCCATCTGAGTGCTCGTGCGGAAAACCAGAGGCTGTTTCTGAGCTGCCGCCGGCCCTCTGCCCAATGGGAAGTGGGTGGACACCGAGGGGGCTGCGCAGAACTAGTCCCCGGCCGGCCGAGCCGGCCCTTTGTCTTAGGTTTTCTTCTCGCCTGCACCTGAGTGCGTTCGAAAGCTTCTTGCTTCTTCCGTTTGCGCCCACACTTAAAAGAGCTGAAAGATGACCTGATAGTGTCTGGTGCTTAATTGGAAAGCTTCCGTGTACAGGTTTCGGTGAAAGCATCCACCATGGAGCGAGTGAAGCGATTTGACTAGCTGCACACTGCTGCAGCCCACATCTAGTCTTCCCACACCTGAGCTACTGTGTTTTGCATTAGACGTCAGATAAGACTGAAATAGATGTTGAAATGGCTGGGTCAGGAAAGAGCGTCCCTAATCTCTGCTGAATTTAGGCACACCTGGGTTAAATTCATGGTGTTGCTTAGCCCCACTTGGTCCTTGAATAGTGGGTCACTTGGCCTTGGCTGGTAATGTGCTCAGGGCCGGCAGTTTCCCTCCCTGCCTGTCCTTCGTTAGATTGCAGACCCACCGAGGACCTTGAGGCATCCTGAATTGTCCAGTAGGTAAGCAAGTGGTCTGTAAGATTACTCACTGAGCTTCCTTTCCTGTTTTACTTACCTATAGACAAGACCATCATCATGTGGAAGCTGACCAGGGATGAGACCAACTACGGCATCCCACAGCGTGCTCTTCGGGGTCACTCCCATTTCGTTAGTGACGTGGTCATCTCCTCAGATGGCCAGTTTGCCCTCTCTGGCTCCTGGGACGGAACCCTTCGCCTCTGGGATCTCACAACGCAAGTAGCTGCTCTCTTAGCTCTGGGGGGAGGTAGGTTCCCATGGGCTTTTCCGTCCCTTGTGGGAACTATAAGTCCAGAGAGCACCTAAGAGAGGGATCTCGGGTGCTTGCGCTCTCTCCTTGTTGCTTTCCTTTTTCTATATAAAAGTGCTGAGGGATGGTCTGGTTGAGTAGTCTTGCCAGATATTGCCATTGAGGCGGCAAGAGTTTGAACAGGTTCTGCCTTGGGAACATAATGGAGGATCCTGGTGATGACAGGCGACATTGTCAGCCAACCCCATGTGGGAGTGAGGACATGTCCTGCAATTCTGAAGGGAATCCTCTGGCGGATTCTTACCAAAGGGCTGGCTCTGTGCAGATCCATGTCCGGGGTTGATGATGAAATGCAGCTTAACTGGAAGCTTGCAAAGTGTGTCTGGGCAGTGACCGAGTCCTTCCTCGCAGGGGCACCACCACACGCCGATTCGTGGGCCATACCAAGGACGTGCTGAGTGTGGCCTTCTCCTCTGACAACCGGCAGATTGTCTCTGGCTCCCGAGACAAAACCATCAAGTTATGGAATACTCTGGGTGTATGCAAATATACTGTCCAGGTAAAGTGAAGACACGTGTTATGGTGCTCTCCCACCCTCTGAACCTGGGCCTTATGTGGTGACCTCAGGCTTCATCTGATGAAAGTTTCATTGATCTTGAAGGTTTGGGTTTGGGGGGGGTGAAAACAGATTGTCGTTATAACCGAGAAGTGGGGTCAAGAGTTTCATGGACGGGATGATTTTTCCTAATTTCATTTTCATCTGTAGGATGAGAGCCACTCAGAGTGGGTGTCTTGTGTCCGTTTCTCGCCCAACAGCAGCAATCCCATCATCGTGTCCTGTGGCTGGGACAAGCTGGTCAAGGTGAGCTCAGAGCCAGGGCGTAGGGTCTGCCAGCTGGAATGTGTTCCTCCTCTCTCCCAGATGGTCATACACTTTGAAAGATTTGTCCCTCGGTTTACTTTTCTTCCTAGTTTATCTAAAATAGCCAATTGATGGCCCTAAGTCCATTATGAAGCAACAGAGCATTTCTTGCCTGTTTTAATCCTGATTGTCCACAAGTAGCAAGGCCTTTTTTTGGTCACTGATTGAATGAAAAACGGCCACCAGATCCAGGAATGCTTTTAAACGAGTGTTAAAGGCCCTTTCTGTTTGGCTAGAGCTCTTCCGACTCGACAGCTCCAGAGCCAAGTTCTTTATCTATGACCACCACCACCACCCCTAATTTAGGTATGGAACCTGGCAAACTGCAAGCTGAAGACCAATCACATCGGCCACACAGGATACCTGAACACTGTGACCGTTTCTCCAGATGGATCCCTCTGTGCTTCTGGAGGCAAGGTACTTGGGCCAGGAGTCTCCTAAACAATGGGTACAGTGTCTTAGAAAGAATACTTGACAATAAGATAGTAATCTAAGAAAAATATTTCCAAAGATTGCTTTCTGAAAGTGACATCTTGAAGGCATACTGTACTGTTCAAAAGAAACAGGTCTTCAATAAATCTGGTTTCTTTTAAAGCTATTGATGACATTAGGATTTCACCTAACAAACGGTAGTTTGATTTAGATCACAGACTCTTGGTAGTTTTGGTGAGTTGGGTGGTGCATTAAAGGAAAGGTATAGAGGTAAATATTGCTTCGTCAATCATTGGTTTTGGGGAAGTTTGGGGGGGGGGGTAGTTGAGATAATCTTGAGACAGCTGGGGTTAACATCTGGAAGAGGTCACATTACCCTGACTCAGCTTTGCTCTCTCCCAGGATGGCCAGGCCATGCTGTGGGACCTCAACGAAGGCAAGCATCTGTATACACTTGATGGTGGGGACATCATCAATGCCCTGTGTTTCAGCCCCAATCGCTACTGGCTCTGTGCTGCCACTGGGCCCAGCATCAAGATCTGGGTGAGTAGGGGCTGCAGTTGAGGACCGGTACCTGGCTATACTCTAAGCCACATGTGTCAAACACAAGGCCCTCGGGCCAAATCCGTCCCGCCAGGCCTTGCAATGTGGCCCGCACCGCGCTGTCATCACTGCACTCCGCTGCGTTTCCATCACAATGAGTTTATGACTGTTCAGTAAACCATTCGGCCCGCGATTTAGGCTGGATTTTAGATTCTGGCCCCTTCTCTGAGTGAGTTCGACACCCCTACTCTAAGCCATGGCATCAATGTGGTGATTTCCTGAACAACTGCTGTCAGTGGAGGCCCAGCAAAAGCTACTTAAAATTTCCTGGGTTTAGGTTTACAATGATTAGATCTTTGCCTACTTAAAGGAATGGCTAAATAGAGCAGCTTATTCAACCACAGCACAGTTGACATTTTTGTCTGAATGTTTGACAGAGGGGTGTAGTAGTCCTGTGTATTTTAGGATGTTCAGCAGCAAAACTGGTCTTTACTCACCAGTAAGTGCCTATAATAGACTCCCTTAATGACAACCAAAAATGTCTCTAGGTGAGTGCAGAAATATCCTGTTGAAATTATTGAGGTATAAAGTGGCTTTTGAGACGGGACTTCTGTTTGTTTTTTTGGGGGGGGGGGGGGTGTGGGTGTGTGTGTGTTTAGTATCAGTGGCATTAAAGTGCAAAGAATTGCCTTACCTCCATTTTGCTCCTTCCCCAGGACTTGGAAGGCAAGATCATTGTAGATGAATTGAAGCAAGAAGTTATCAGTACCAGCAGCAAGGCAGAGCCACCCCAGTGTACCTCTCTGGCCTGGTCTGCTGATGGCCAAGTAAGTAGGTGTACCATTTAGCGGGAAGATGGTGGTCTAGAGCAGCAGTTACCAATGGGTGGTCTGTCCATGAGGTCCCGAAAGGTTGGTGACTGCAGGTCTGGAGGGAAGTGATTACCTGCTTCCAGTTCAGTTTAATTTGACCAATTTACAAACATATTAGTTCTTCCTCTAGGAATAATCACCCATAATGTAGTTAGAAGACTGGGGATCTAATGGGACTAGAGTTTCATTACTCTGACGCCACTCATTTCTCTTTTGCAGACTCTCTTTGCTGGCTATACAGACAACCTGGTGCGAGTGTGGCAGGTGACCATCGGCACCCGCTAGAAATATATGGCAGAGCTTTAGTAATAAAATGGTTTTCTGGCTTGTAGAAAGCGTCTTTTCTCTGATTAGGGAAAAAAGCTGCTGCTTTCCATTCTGGAAGCAAATGCCAAGTAAACAAGGCTTTGGGGAAGAGGGAGAAGTCAGACCATGTTGGGTACCTGCATTCATAATGTCCTATTTCATGTAGATCCTCAATGCCTTTTAATGTTTTTATTGACTTGAGGGGGAGAGAAATACCCATCTGCTGTCTCCCACATGCCCCCTACTAGGGATTAAGCCTGCAACCTGGGCATATACCCTGATTGGGGATTGAATCTGCAACCTCTGGGTACATGAGGTAAGGCTCAACCAACTGAGCCACTACACCAGCCAGGACCAGGTCCAGCGCTCTTTAACACACACGCGCGCAAAGAATTTAACAGGTACATTCTGTTTTTCTTCCAAAGGGAAGATTAAAAAACTTTCTGAAACTCCAGTTGTTAACATAGTCTACTTCATATTGGGTTTTTTGTTAAGCTAGAGACTTTTTAATAAAGGCAAGTCAACTCACCAAAAGAACTACCTAAATCCTTTTTGCTCCTCCCATACGGGAGAGTTAAAATTATATACAATGGTCTGGAATTAATCACAGAACTGGTATTAAAGTAGCCCATTTATATACATAGACACACTAGAGGCCTGGTGCATGAATTATGCCTGGGTGTCCCTCAGGGTAACCTGCTGGGATCAGTCTGAAGTCCACAGCCAACACTGCCTGCAGCTCCTTCCTGCATCCGGTGGCCTCCCGGCATTGGGCCAAAACTGGCTCACCAACATCTCCCAGGGGGCTCAGGTGAGGGTTCTGGCCAGGCTGAGAGACCCAGGAACATGATTAGGGTCAGAGAGGGACCATGGGAAGGCTCCAAAGTGTGTCCAGCCTATCTTGCCCAGTCCTGGTTTCACAACCTGAGCAGCAAGCTAACCTTCCACTCCGCATCTACTCTATGGTGGTCAGTGCACATCAAAGCCAGTGGTTGAGTGGCTTTAGCATGTTATTAGCATATTATGCTTTGGTTGAACAGTTGACGAGACACTTCACATATTAGGTTCTCATCACATAGGATACCCTCCATTTCTCCTCAGCTAACAGTAATGGAGCATCTAGCTTTATCTCTAGCTCCATGGGATTTCTAGACATAGTCACCTATACTTTGAAAATGGGCCTGAGCCAGGAGTGTGGAAACTCAGAAACAATCCTAAAGCATCAAAGCAGCAGGAGACAGCAATCAGCAAATGCTCTTAGAGTATGCCAATAAAGTAGGTAGGTCGTACAAATGGGAGGAATGATAGGGTTTATGTTCCAATCTCTAAACAGAACCTCATGTGTTTTCTGTTCATCTAAAGGAATGGACTCCATAAAAGAAGCAAATAAAACTTTTTTCTTTTTTTATTTCCACAACCCAACTTCCCTTTTCCCCAGGAACATAATTGACCTGGGCCATCAAAGCACAGGACAAAAGCTGATAAATGACACAAAGCAAAGGGTTACTAGAAAAATATATTATACCCCAGGCACTCCTAGGGACCTAAACCCTGCTCCCCATCAGAGCTCATCAAATGAAACAGAAGACATGAGAGAATGGAAATAACCTCCGCTGAACAAAGGGGAAAGGAGTCGCAGTGAAGAGGGTAGGGTGTGGTTTGCTGGGGAAGGGTAAGAATAATTTATGGGGGGGGGGGGGGGGGGGGAATGGTATGTGGTTTCAATCATGTCTACCACTCCAGATCTCACTGAAACTAGATTCTGGCCAGTCTATGGAGGTAGAAATTGGGATAGAAGGAAGTTTAGAATCCTTCCTTTCCCAGTGGAGATGGTTCTTTATTACCCAGCTCTACCTTTTGCCCAGCCTGCCTCCCCTCAAAAAACCTCCACATTCCATAGTTAAACTTCCATTAGAAAATGGAATTGGAATAGGGATAGTCATGTCTTGCCAAAATCCTCAAGCCTGGGAACTGATGTGAAGATTGAAAAGCAGGGATGGATAAAGAGAAGATAATAAAATTAGATCTTCCCTCCCCTATTCAAACTTGGTCCCTGGGTGGACAGGAAGGGAAGACTAGGTAGCTGAGAGCAGAGACCCATGCAGGTGAGGCAGAGCTGGAGGCCAGAAAGGTTCCTAGGCTCCTATAGGGGAAATCGGGGGTCAAGGAAGAGCAGAAAGCAATGCAGAACACTTAGGGAGCCTTTAGCCCCAAAACTTGGGCCACCCTCCACCACCACCCGCCCCACCAGTGCTGACCAGAGGGGCCCCAGCGGGTGGTAGGCTGATCAAGGGCACAGCTTAATTCGGGTACCCTTGGAGAACACCCGGAAGAAAGGGAAGACACGCTCGCCCAGAAAGGCAGCCGAGAAGGTGTGCACGTGGGCCAGAGTCTCTGCGTTGTAGAAGCCCAGGCGACCAGCCTCATAGTCCAGGTACACTCCGAAGCGCCGTGGTTTCTCACTTGGGCTCAGCAGTGTCTGCTCCGTTGAGCTCTGTGCCTGGTAACGTTTGCCATTGGTGCCCACACACCACACTTCCCTCTGGAGCAGGGGCTGCTGGGGTAGATGGAGACGGCGGCGGCGGTGGTGATGGCGCGAGGAAGAACTGGCATCCCCAATGCCCACAGAGGAACCCCCAGAGCCCACCTTTTCCTTATGATGGGTAGATTCTCGGGCAGCACCCACAGCCCAGCCCCGCCGTCCACCCACCTCTACCTCCCAGTAGTGCCGGCCAGAGCGGAAGCCCTGGGCCCCCAGTACGCAGCAGTCAGCTGAGAAGCACTTGGAATGGTCAGCAACCTTCTGCCGCCGTTCTGCCAGGCGGACCCCCCGGCGATCAGGAGACAGCATCAGGGCCGGGTGAGCCGTGTCGGGGTCCAGTGTCAGGTCCACTTGTGGGAAGAGGACAAATTCACCAGGGATGGGTCCACTGTTGCCCATCAGCAGCCAACTCCAAGGTTCAGCCTTTCCTAATGCCCTCCCCCATTCACCTTCTGGACCCCAGCAGTCCTTAGTGTCCCACCCCTTCCTAAAGGCCAGGATCAAGTTCCTTTAGGTTCTAACACTTCCCCTATTCTTGTTTCCAGGACACTGGACAGGTCTTCCCTCTGGCCCTGGCTCTTCTTGCCAGCACTCTCCCCAACACCTACCTGAGCTAGGACAGCAGTCTTGGCTTGAAGCCCCAGATGGCCTACCTGTAGTCTGCTCCATCTCAGCCCCCAATCTTCCCTCAGAACCTACTCTCAGGTCTGTGAAGGTAAAGGCAAAGGAAGGTCGCACAGGTGACCTCCCTACCTCGAGCAGCCTGACAGAACATCCGGCTCATTTTCCTCACGATGGCGTCTGTCAGGAAGTCATGGCTATGGGGCTGACACGGGTCAGGGGACCAGATCTCGGGGGGCTGCAGCTGTATCTCTTCACACCTGGAGGAAGGGGACCAGGCAGGGGGGACCGTGATATTCCCAGGGGAAGGAGAGGAGGAGAGGGGCAGGAGAGCCGAGAGGGGATGGGGAACCAGATGCCACTAGATTACAAAGAATAATGGGTGAGAACACACCTATTGAAAGTCTCCTTGATGTCCTGGGAATAACAGAAACACAAAGAAGGAGAGGGAGAAAGACAAAAAGAAAGTCAGCTGTGCAGGGATGGCCCCTTTCTCCCTGCCTGATTCTAGCCATAAAGACTGAACATAAACAGGGAGTGAGAAAAAGCACTTCAAGGCCTTCAATAAACATGCATCCGTCTCACTCATCTTTGTGCCTCAGCACACCTAGCTCATCTCTTCCTGCTGTGAGCCTAGGAATAGAATTTTCAACTCGGTAAACTAATTTTCACAATATGACTTGGTTATCTCTTTCAGAATGTCACTGCCAAAAATTCTTTCCTCAACTCTCATTTAAAACCCTCCTACAACTGAAACTCCTTTATTTTCATTAGGTATAATCTCACACACCACATTTTACAATAACTCTCGTCTTCAGCCTCAGAAGACCTTTAGGTCTTCAGAAGAAATCTCTGTGGATTCATCCCAGTAAAAAAAAAAAAAAAAAGCTGCTATGGACAGGTGTCACACACAGGGTGCTGGGGAGCAGACAGAGAAGTGGACCTGCTCACCTGGAGCAGCCGCAGGCCCCCCTGCTGGCTCCGTTCCTGGGCCTCGTTCAGCAGGCGGCTCAGCTGGGCAGCCTGCTCAGCCAGAAGACTGGCCGCTGCTCCCGCCCGGCCCAGCTGGGCTTCGTGCATCTCTCGAAGGCGCCGCTCCAGCCCTGCCTGCTCTTCAGCCAGAAACCTTGTCAGCCGTCCAAACTCTGAGGCCACAGCTGCCAGCTCTGACTTCATCTGGCTCTGGGATGATGCAAAGGGGATGGTGGATACCACCTCAACACACAGAAACATAAACCTCCAATTTGGCAACTCTTGCCCCTCAATCCAAGGCAAAGGAGCCCTACATCCCAAATGGAAAGAGGCCTCTGTCCCCTTTCCCACTCCCAGCCTTACCAGGCATCACTTGCCGCATCACTGGTCCGAAACTCACCCGCCTCTGCTTGCTATGCTTCTCTCTACCTTGGCTGCCCAAC